TGCTGGTTTCAGTGGCAGGCAGTTTGGCAACTGCAGGAGCTACGAGTGCAGCGGGTCCATTAAACATTAGGACCTTGTTAGTCTCCTCGCTGTGTGTGGAGTGGAGTGGAGACGGGGAGCTGTGGGTTCTGCAGTGATATCATAAAAAACACTATTGTGGCTCAGAGAGTTTGTGAGGAAAAGCATAAAAATGACCGTCTTATGGAGGATCATTAGGTCCAAGAGAGACAAGACAGTTTGACTGTGTCCACTCAGATTTGTGTCCTGTCCAAGAGGAACACGTTTATTTTGTTTGTTTGTATAATTTCCTAGAGCAGTGGTTCTCTTTCTATGGTTTGGGGTCCCTCCGGTGGTACGTAGAGGACCAGTTTCTTCAGGCTGTGGCTGATAAATAGTCAAACAATCTTCATATTCTCTGATAGGCTGGACAGAGAATGGCTGTGCTTGTGTATTTTATCAATGGTAGAAGTGGTAGTATTACTGTGGAACAAATATTTTGTTTAAGTATAGCATCATATTAAAAGGTCGAGAAACTGTGTCTTAGCTTGCTTGCTAACTCTTGGTTTTGCGCAAGTCTTGCTCAGGCACAGAGGCATGAATCATGTGTGATGTCACCTTTAAGGTTCTGCATAATTAACAACAAATTAAAATGATGCGTATTTGGTAATATTTGTAATAAAAGACTAGAGCTTAAAGGCCACAGGAAAAAAAAACACCGACACAGAGGCGTCAGTAGTCAGACAGCAACCCATCTCACAGATGTTTTTAAAAAATATATTTTTACACTAAGGGAACTATAAAATGTTGACATTTTTGGCACCATACTGTTCAACTTAGCAGGACTGGTTAGCTTCAGAGTTTGAGCTAAGACTTAGAGCCTAATTGACAGTAACTCCTTCAGACAGACTCTAATGGGTTTTTTAACCCTCACATCCAAACCCTTCACCCCACGCTGGACCAGATAACTGAACTCCAGATTAAAAAGTGACGACCATATTTGGTGTCTGTGTGAGTAATTGCGTGTGATTGTGTCAGGCTTTGTGTAATTTACAAACCATTTGACGGAATATTGTTCTCAGCGTGGCTCCAAATTAACTTGAACGCTCAAGACTCTGAGCCTATCAGCACTTCTCCCCCTGGAGCTGGGAAACAACTGCTGCTTCTGCACTCACACATATACACACACACACACACATACACACCCAACGTAGCGTAAACAGCCGTTGGGCTTTTTATACCATGAAGCAGTTTTTTTTTTTAAAAACTGGATTTCAANAAAAAAAAAACTGGATTTCAAGTGCCACAGTTTAATCAGGAGGCGGTCCGGAGGGGGAAGAGTAAAATAAGTGTGCATGTCAAAGTATGCAAATACTCGTCTCCTACAGTGTTAAGTAAATGTGGAAAATCCAGTGCAGTATGTTCGCTCGCATCCCGAGTTGACTTGCAACGTAATGAACCTCAGTGGGCCGCACAAACGTCCTGATGTCATCAATAATGATCAGATAGAGGAAACAGCAGGGGGACTGAATGTGCTGTTCTGGTCTGCTTGGTTCAAGTCTCTCTCGTCAGCTGATGTTAGTGCTGAGTGCAGCGCTAGCGTCGGTGAAGGCTGTCATCTCAGCACGCTGCATCGGCGCATCTTTTGTTTTTAGCCTCTTTGATGCCCCACACAGTTGCAGAAATATCTGCCTGGAGCAGAAAACGCTGAATGGATTTGTGTCTCATCTCCTTCTCCCCACGGCCTACTTCATATTTAGTTCTTGACGGCTGCTCTTATTTAAAAATGCACTATCCTCCAGTGACTGAGCAGTTTGTTTATCATGTGCAGGCACAGAGGCAGTGACAGTGGGTGGACCACATCTTGTGTAATTTTTTTTTTCTCTCTAGATTATCAGAACCCAGAATGTTCTGCAATTTATATGCGGACAAGTCGGGTATGGCTGCCCAAGAGGACCGTTTTGCTTACTTGCTAACAGCAAACAGTAAGTTTTTTTGGTTTTGTAAGAATCCAAATGGATCTGCTGAGATGATCGGTTAGCCTGCTTGAAATAAGCCAAATGCTAACTATGTTTAGATGAATAAATAAATAAATTCAATAAGTAAACCAGTGTTAAAGAAAAAACTCAGAGGTAGTAGCTGAAGCGTTTTGCTAAACATTTAGTGGAAAAGTGGGCTAGCAACTGTTTTATGTAACTCAATCATTTTCAGATGTTTAAATCTTATCACTGTCCGTCAGTAAAACTTGCTTGCCAACAGTAAATAAAAAACAAATAACCCTACAACCTCCTGGTTTGGTACCTGATAAAGCAAGTTCCGCAAAGTGCTACAGAAAGACACAGAGGGATGAATACTCTGCAGTACAGTTTACAAGATGCATATTAAAGTTTTGTAGAATTCCTAAATGGCCTCTAGGGGTCTGATTGTGCTGTTCTGGACTAATTAGTTTGAGTTTCTCGTCAGCTGATGTCGGTGCTAGCGTTGGCGGAGGCTGTCGTCTCAGCACGCTGCATCTGTGCATCTCTTCTTACGAGCCTCTTTGATCCCCCTGTGTTACACAGATACAAGTCCACAGCAGAAAAATGCTGAATGGATTCATGTATCAGCT